CCGCTAATAGTCGTCGAGCATATTGTGAATAGCGCGGCTTTTTTTCTTGCCCTGCGCTCCTCCGCTTCGATCGCTGCAAGCAATTCTGGAGGGTATGTATTTTTTCCGCCTGCTGCTTCTAGTGCTGGAGGCTGCGGGGCCAGTGGAGGGTTTTCGGCTCCTGCTGCCTTAGTGGATGGTGTTTCAGCCCTTTTCGCGGGACTCACTTCTGCAGGTCGCGGTAGTGCTGGAACCGTGATGCGCTTCTCGGGTGCGACGACGGTTTTTCTGGGGGATCCGGTGGGATCCAAGACTTGCTCTGCGTCTTCTGGGCTGGAGGATGCCCAAACTGAATCGGCGAGGGTTTTTAACTTCTCGACTTCTGCGTCCACCATATCTACCTCGGGGACATCGTTCTCCTTCGCTTGGAGCGCAGCCGCGATGGTGTTCATATTTTGAAGATTTGACTCGAGTCCTCGCCTTGTTAGCATGTTCTTTGCGTGGTTTTGAATGGCGGTATGCCATTGATAAGGTTTGTTGGCGCGATTTTTGGTGATGCCGCTGATCGCGTTTTGGTGGGTTTTACGCGTCGGAGGCATTTTAAAATGCCGCCGATGGCAAACAATTGCTATTCGATTCGTTCCTCAGAGGGTGAGATGGATAAAAGGGTGGGAATGGGCAAATTGGGGGCTTCTCGAATTGTTTTGATGAAGGGTTTTTTTTTTTAAATTAAAGTCCTAAGCTAAAGCTCTAGGTCCACTATCGGTACAAGACTGGTGGAGCCGGCGGGGATCACTGCTTACAGGCCCAACTCATTCCAACCGCGTGACCCGCTACAGAAAAAGTAGCAGGTAAATTATAACTCAGAAACTGTAATCAAAAACTAAAATCAAAACTAAAAGCCAAAGACTGAAATCAAATTTACAAGATTTTTCATGTGGTCCGGATCCCGCGCTTCTCGCCCGTTCCTTTTCCTGCCACATCTTCCAAATGACAAATTTACTCAATCTCCGCTGAGAGCAAGAGATGAGATAGCAGGCACTTTTTATCCAGCCGGTATCCTGCTATTGGTTAGTATATGCTCCAAAAGGGACATCGTCGAGGTTTCTGTGTCCTCAAACTTCTTCTTCAAATTCCAGAACTCCGAAACCTGTAGCATCGGCCATCGAGACGTCCTTTGCAGCGGCGGTGATTGCCTCTTCGGCCTTCTTTGCTGTTGCTCGTGCTCGTGCCACCTTCGCGAACTCCCCTTGTTCGATGTGGCGGATCCACGCGAGCTGCTCTTTGGTCACCGGTCCAGACTTTCTGGGTCTGACTTTGCAGTCCCGAGAATCCGATCGGTGGGGTCCCCCACAGTTGCGACACTTTGAGAGGGCCTTACACTCGGCTTCCGAGTGCATGTTTGATCCGCAGTTCCAGCAGGCTGGGGCGCGGGAGCAACCACGGGTGGCGTGGAAGCCCAAACAGCGTTTGCACTGTTCAATTTGGCGACGAGGCTGGATCTTTGTAGCCGCTCCGGACTCGTCGAGAATTCGGAAGCCCGCACGAGGGGCGGAGTCCCGGTTGAAAAGGGCATACCAGTTTCTGTATGGCGCTCCAGGACGACATGTGCCGTGCGGTCGCACCTGGCATGGACGTCGTTGTGTTTTGCGGTAAATCTCCAGTGAGATCCTAACGGCATCGACCGTCTCAATACGGTTGATTAATTTTATAGTCGCTGGAACATTCGCGATCCGAAAGGCGACAAGGTTGGAGGCTTCCTCGATTTTGGCATTGAAGTCCGACAACTTCAGTAAGGCATCAAAGAGCTCTTCCCTTTCATTCTCATCCGCTGTCAGAATCGCAAATCCGGTTCTGACACGGTGTATAGAGCTTTTTTCACTCAAGGTGTACAGTAGCCTACTACATAATTGATGCCTTATGCCGTCAGGCGAAAGCTGGCACCATGGGTGATCGCTCTCTAAGCGAAGGAACAGTCGTTTGTCGACTTTAGCCTTCGGAGCTTCTTTATTTTGGGCTTTTGCCGCCGGTCGCGGAACAGCCTTAACAGTAAGGACTGCTTTTTGTGACAGTCCGTTTCTGGCCACCGTGGCCCAGGTGCTTTTTATAGGCAGCGCTGGGACGGCGGAAATCGTTGTGCTCCTGACGTCGGGAGCCCTTGGGATCGGGTTCGCCGGGCGAGGAGGGAGGACGGGTGGCGTAGTGGCCGGGCCCGTGGCCATGTATTGCGCGATGGCTGCGCGTAGGTAGACTCTCATCGAGTCTACAAATTGTCTGTTTGACCCGTTGGTCAAAGGAAGAAGGGTGACTTCGACGCCAGAGATGGCGGCGGAGCAAAGGGCCAGATTTGCCGCTGTTTCGGCGGCACGTCGTTGCTCGGCTTCGATAATGGGTCGAAGTTCCGGAGGGCAATCTGCTTTCGTGGCAGCTTTGGGCTGCGACGTTGATTTTGACGCTGCTTTGGGTGCAGCGTTCTTCGACAGTTTTGGCGCGGTCGGGGGAGATTTTGACGATTCTCCAATCCCGTGGGGGACGGAGGATGGTTGAGGAATTTCCTCAATAATTTCGACTGACCCGATCATGTCAGTATCGGGCTCAGTGACGGCGGGGAGGGCTTTTTCCTTCCCTTTGGTAGAGACGTTTCTCATCTCCACGCATTTCGGAGACTGGGAAAGGTCAGGTAATTGTTGGAGAGCCCTCGGGCGGACTCTCGTGTTGTCCAACTTGGCGTTGGGACGCTTTTTGCGAACTGGAGGCATGGTGAAAATGCCTGAGCTCGATCACAATTCAGAGATAGATGCGACGAGGTCGAGAAGGGAGGAAAGAGGGAAAAACTGAATTTTCGAATTTTCGAATTTCTCGAGTTGATGAAGGGTTTGGTTGTTGAGTTTCCTATTACTTCTGTGTTGGGATACACTTTGTCGATCCTACTAGGGTCGATAATTAGTAGTCCCGACCGACTGGTTTTTGGCGAACGGAGATTGCGTATACCCTGTGCTAGCGTTGTTTACTGCTGTTAATAGGAGATCCCGCTCGGGCTATCTATTGGGCTTAAAACGAGTCTGGTACCTGTGTTGAGTAGAATAGTCGAATTGATATCCTTTTATCCTTCATTATTGCACAAGCTTCCCTCTACCAATAAGTCCATGAACTAAGTAGCGGGTTAAACATTTCAATAGTTACTCCAATTGCATTCGGGCATTTACCTCATCAAAAACCGGCCATCTCCCACTACATATTTACGATGCTATGTGTACCCGCAAGAAGGAATTTAAGTCACAATCTACAAAGCTCGGGTCTTGGTCCATGAGGGACCGTTGCTCTAATGGAGCTTCATATCTTGAGGGAGGACAGGTAGCTGTGACGTGGAACGAACGAGTGAAGAGGTCACAAATGGGCATGCTGGGATGCACATTTTTCGAGTGTTTTCGACTTAAGGGTGTCAGTGAGCGCAGAAGCAGCGATTTCGGATATTGCCACCGACACTCTAAAAACAGGCAACGATGGAAGGTGTTTTGGTCCGCCTCTTGGTCGTCATCTCCCCGAATTAAAGTCTGGGTAGTCTGGACACCTACTTCACTCGAGAAAGGGAGGACTGTGAGGCCATATCTCGCGCGACGGCTATGTGCAAGATGACAAAGGCATGGTAGGGTAGCCAAAGGTTTTTCATGTTTTCCCTATGGTGGATATTAACGGTTGAGGGAAGGGTGAAAATCCCTAGCACCAAGGACTCGAGTGGTATCAGCGAATGCACCCACTACATGAGTGGTCCAAATGTCAAACTGAGTTATCGTCGTATATAGTCGCCGGAGAAGCTAGTCTTCTCTATGTCATGCTCTTTTAGTGCAAGGCTTGTGCCCGTCACGAATATATTTTCATTATCATATATATTTAGTCTCGTAGATGTATTCACGATAAAAGGATACAGATTTTTTCTTACACTTTCTGTTCGAGTACCTACAGCATAATATTGTGTAAGTCTATTCACTGTCACCTGTAAGATGTATCATCATTTACTCCTCACCGTTCCGCAATACGACTTTCGCATAGCGCACAACCACAATAGAGAGGCTTAATAAAGCGTGTTTGCAGCATATTAGCACAGCCCTACTTGATTGTGCCTTCTGGGGAACAGGGCAGTATCATAATCACATCGAAAATTAAAGTTCACTCTTTAAGTTTACACTGAATCTTGGCCCTGCTGACCCTATAGTGGAATGAATAAACTAGTTGGAGGCACCGTCGATAGGTTCTGAGAATTCTTTCACGTTCTGTATCTCCAATTTCGAGAATTTTTAGTATCTCTAGTAACATCCAATGTTTGGGTGCTCCAGAATCCTTAGACTTCATATAGCTTATAAATGAGGAAATTGTAAGATACAATTTCAAGTTACCTAAATACATAATAAAGCAATTCAAGCCCTGCCAAGAAATTCATGGTTAACGCTACCGAATTAAAAGATTAAGCAGAAATCCTGCGTAGATTATGGTGTTTCCAAATTTAACTCCATATTGTTTATCCCTTCTGGTGCATAGTACTGAGCGAAAAGATTAGAGCCAACGATAGTGATCGAGGCATGAAGCATCAATAAACTATCATTTCGTCTTGCTCCATTGAATCGATAGGTAGGCGAGTCTCCTGACCTGACTTATTCTTACGCAGTTGGAGTACAGCTAGCTCTGCGTCTACTCTTTTATGGTACTATATATATTAAGACAACCCTTTACTCTTCACTGAATCCAATACTTAATCCCTATCAAAAATTTTGTTCAATAATGCCTCTACTTGGACAATCAAATTATAATTCAATTTTGTGCTTGGGCCTAAGAGCCCAATGTTAGAGAAGTAAACTTCCATATTGCCAAATATGAGCTTTCTTTGAGCTTAACTTAGCGGATAATTTTTATCATCTTTCTTGAGCTGTATTTAGTAGATGACCAGGCCATTTAAAATAAATTAAACTGATTCTCTCTATTTCTACTTTCAGTGGATTGAAACCAATGTAAGAGCTTGTGGCAAATTATTGTAACTTAGATACTTTCCGTGAGAATTCCTCACTGCTCTCAGTAAAAGGTCTTTTCCTTCTGGGGCATTCGCTTTTTCGATGTGGACCACCACATGAAAAACATTCAATTTGGGATTTGGGTGTAATTTCCTGTCTTCCACTTAAAGAGGTTAACTTATTAAGATTTACCTCTTCTTTGCGCCTCTTCTTAGTTGATTGCACCGAATTAGCCCTAGACGAGCGTTTGGTGGGCTTGTTCACAGTATTTTTCTTCATCTCACGCTGGGTTGCTCGAATTAATTGACTAGTAGGGTCCTCATCATCACTGTTTGTATTTTCAGAATCTGTTGATTGCTGATCATCTTTATTTTTTGTCTCAGACTCAACTTCTGAATCTTCAAAGAGAGGATTTTGAGATTTCTACATTTAGTTAACGGCTGAAGTATTCCGTAATCGTTTGATAACTAACCTCTAATGCTTTATTAAATCTCCCAAAACTTCTTCTGCCGAATGTTGCTGGCCATTCTCCTGACTTATCAGCCGCATAGTTCTCTGGCGGAAGAACGTCTAGACTGGCATAGCCTGTGTGTACAAAACGAACTGATGCGATAGGTACTGGGTGCGTTTGACCTGCATCATTCAATACCCATCTTGTATCACCATATGCGGCGGCTAACTTATCCAAAGCCGCTTGCTTTTTTTCTTCTTCCTGAACCGTAGCTTCGAGAAAAGCTTTCCTATCATCCAACATTTCTGTTTCCTGCCTCGAGGGTTGTCTTTTTTCTCTTTTCTGCCGCTTAGACATCGGTTCAGTTTGATCAGAAACTGATGACAGAGGAGATCCACTGGCCCTTTGCATAAATTTCATCGTCAATAGCCTTGTAGACATCGACTTGGGCGTATTGCCCGAAGTACTGACAACAGACATTGTTGTGTAATAAATGATTGTTGTACAGTGATATGGGAATGTAAAGCGGGAATTCTAACTGTGAAAATGTATTTCTAACTTTTGGGAATTGGGATTAATCTCTTGAAATTAAACAGGTAAATTGGTGCGTTATGATTATTAGATAAATGGGATATTAGGAATGTTGATCAGCTAGAATTCTTGTTCTTTTCAGGATTAGGTAAGCGAATTCGCGAACATGCAAGGTGGAAGCCATGTCGGACAAACATGGACTAACAACTATGCTATCATCAGTGAGGTCAAGCACCGGAAGACAGCTCAGCTGTAGAGCTTTAGTGTCGCTGAGACAATCATGTTTTATTTCATCTCAAAGTATTCCAAAGTCAGAGGGACCATTGAGTGATACCTCGATCACTACATCGCAACAGACATCACCGCTCGTCATTGACTCCAAATACGATGGAAATAATAGTTTGACTCAAGCACCCAATAAAGCGGATGTGTGGTCAAAGAGCCAGAACCCTCGATCTGTAGCAATGTCGGGGCCTAGATTTGAACAGACCATATTTGAGCTACAAGTGAGTGATGACCTTGTTGCTAAAAGTGATTTCAACTGATTGAACACCTGCCACCTTTATAAATTTACTTAGCTTATTTTTACTAATTGATTGTAGCCAGCGCCTCATTCAGCTATGGAATTAATTCACAAACAACCTGTGCGATGGTCACACGAACGAGTTGTAGTCTGTGATGGTGGTGGTGGTCCTTTAGGCCATCCCAGGACCTTTATCAACATCGATAAGCCCCAAGTCTGCGTATGCGAGTACTGCGGCTTGCCATTTGTTAGTAACTTCAAATCTACCAGAGACAAGTTCTATCTGGGGCTCATCTTTATTCAGAAAAGGGCTAACTCTTTGAAGGCAAACGAGCATCACAGAAAACAGATCGAAGCGCTCCCCAGCACACCATATCCTTTATCTTAACTTGATAGTCGAGTAGGGAATTATAATTATGTAAAAGGGTTTCCTAAGCATGCGATGTGTATCCGATGTGTTAAATATTGACAACATGAAAAGAATATTTAATACTACACATAGATTCACGCTGGGCCATTTGGGGGTTTTCTTCACCGTGGTACATGACCAGTGGGTGAGATCCTTGTATATTGCTATTTTTTGATGTAATGGTTGTAGAAAGCTAAATACGAATTGCCTAGCCCTGTAATTTTGTAGATTGTAAATAGAATGAGTTAAAGTCTTTATCAATTGCTGCTTCCCAAGCAGTTATGTGCCGATGGCAGAATTTCGTGACCGCCCTAAATTTACAGAATTTGTACGCTCACAAGGATTTTGAAAAGGATAGAGAAGCGAATGAACCCCTTCATCTAGCAATCTCGATGCTCAACAATGTCAACTATTACACCCACTGCTCTTCAAACCTCTTATCCTCCAATCCTTCCAGTGCCATTCAACTCCAAACAGCCTAAAACGATTCGGCTTTATCCACTCTCCAATTACACCTTTGGAACCAAAGAAACTCAGCCGGAAGAAGATCCATCAGTGCTTGCGCGTCTTAAGCGGCTTGAGGAGCACTATGTAGAGCATGGTATGCGCCGTACCTGTGAGGGTATCCTCGTCTGCCACGAGCACAACCATCCGCATATCCTTATGCTACAAATCGCAAACGCTTTCTTCAAGCTTCCTGGGGACTACTTGAAGCCTGAGGATGACGAGGAGGAAGGTTTCAAGATGAGACTTAACGAACGTCTCGCTCCTGTTGGCACACAGTTCAGCGGTGAGGGCGTCAATGAAGAGTGGGAGATTGGTGATACACTAGCCCAGTGGTGGCGGCCCAACTTCGAAACTTTTATGTATCCTTTCATACCAGCCCATGTGACGCGGCCTAAAGAATGCAAAAAGCTGTACTTTATCCAGTTGCCACGCCAGAGTCTGTTTAAAATTCCATCCTATCCATGCCTAGTGTCCCAGGCTGACCAGTACGTATAGAGGTGCTCAGTGTTCCTAAGAATATGAAACTATTAGCGGTCCCTCTGTTTGAACTGTATGACAACACGGCCAGATATGGGCCTCAACTATCGGCCATTCCGCATCTTCTGTCGCGATACAACTTTGAGTTCTTCGATGAGCAGGGACAAGTTGTCGCCGTGACCCCTGGCGGTGGGCCAGATACCGGATCAATCCCGCGGACAATAGTTCTGACGGGTGATGAGGATGGAAAAACTGAAGGTGAAATCAAAGAAAATGGCTCTCTTGAACCATAATAAATCCAATATGTAAAGGGGGTATGGTTGGGCGTTCAGAATTGCGAAATCAAACATAGGAAATTGAAACGGGTTAATATACTGAGCGCCATTTTAAATGTTAGGAAATGAAGCAAGTCTAATCAGGGTTGGCGCCTTCCTACAGACGAATCTAGGCCCTTACTTGAGCTGCTACTAGTTATGAAGCCTGTTGACTTGAACTCTGTTCTCTGCTCGCCGACCAACCGTAACTGTCTACGACCGTGTTGGATTTTTCCACCTCTCACGCTCCCATCAGTTCGCCTTGAATCGTAGCTACTAACTTCCTTTGATGGCGCGCAGCCCTAAACTCCAGATACCAGATTCCCTGCCATGTCCCTAGGGCCAGCTTACCATCACGTATGGGAATCGTAATACTAGCTCCTATTAAAGCACTTTTGATATGTGCCTATCAGCTATTAGTTTTACGCTTTCTGTAGATTAACCATAGGCACATACTGGCATATCATCCGCGCCCTCGTCACTATGGCGATATAAATTGCCAGCTTTATCCTCAGGCGCCAAGCGATCCAAGGCATTCGTCATGTCGGTCCGCACGTCCTCATCCCAGTTCTCATTAAGGCTCAGTGCGCAACTCGTATGTTGTATGAAGAGATTTACAAGTCCGGCTCGACATGATCGAATTTCTGGAAGTTCTTGCGAGATTTGATCGGTAACAAGGAAAGCCCCTCGTGAACGTGTTGGCAACGTAATCGTCTTTTGGTGCCACATAGCTAGCGCTGGAAGGCAAAAATGGATTAACGAACGGATATAAGGTATGCAAAAGGAACACACTGAGTGTTAAAACCCTATTGTGAGAAAGGTTTGGACTGTAATTCGAGATATTTGGAGGTTGCGATGGGCGTGCGAGGCTGAGCCATCCCAACCCACCTCGCGTCACTACCCAGAGTGGGGATCGATATTTGCTTGGTAAGACACCAAACATGCTACCGAGGCAGTTACAATCTGGCTATCAGGCACAATAGAAAATACCTGAGCCTCCCCCGGCCCTAGGCTACTTTACTACACAGTATCAGTATCTCTTGAGCCAAAAGAGATATCAAAAATTAACTTACAGCACTAATCGTGTATCACAGCTACATAGCTGCCTATAATCGAATTGAACTTTCTTAGAAGGTCGATTTGCGTATCGTACATCAAACCTTACGCGTGACGCCTCGTTCCTCTCCACAACTTCAAATCCGAGACAGAGGGAAGCGACTTCACATCTTTCCGTGGTATCTTCTTAGAACCTGAAAGTGTAATATTCTCCCGGAGCCAAGTTCTGTCAAATCCTGCAATACCAAAGATTTTGGCTCAGAGGGCATTTATTCAAGATTATTCACTAAATCTATCTCTCCTTATCAAAGAGATCGTTTCCACCGAAGTGTTGGGGTTCAAAAATCCAGTTAGACCATGCTATGGCGTTAACCAGCAGTAGGCATGTATCCTGACAACCTACATCGGGTCTCAGATGGGTTATACAATACACCTACTCTTAATATAGTGACTGGCATTATAAGAAGTATCTTGATTCACAAAAGTTATCGAGATCTGTGAAAGTATAGGAGCGTGTTCTGTCTATCTTACTGATAAGTGAGGAACTCAATTAGAATGAGACGTACCTGCTTAGTAATAACAAAGTAAGTGAACTCAGTGTTACCTACATACTGTGATAAACCACTTTGGGTTGATAATAATACAAATTTGCCACCTTATTGATCTATCACCTCTAGCTCTACGATGCAAAGAAAAAATACAGTGATAAACCCTCTAAAGTGATAACTCGGAAGAACCTTAAAACTCACATCGCACTTCCCAAATAATACTGGCATCTTTTACACTAAGATTAGGTGAAATTCAACTATACAGCTGTACGAGGTTCTGTGGCGCCGTTATGGTTGGATGGTGCGGTGGTACATCGTCTTGGCCGGTTCGCCAAGTAGAGTCTGGATTGCTTGGACACAAAGATGTAACGAGTTACGTAATGTGGTTATGTAATTAGAACTAGTAGCTCGGTGGTCGTGTTTGTACGCGTCGTAGATGGAAAACATGAGAGTACTTGCGATCTCCCACAGCTCCGAACCTTAACGTATTTCTGACACATATCCCACTCGAGACAGTAGATCGCCGGATAAAATCCGGCAAAACACAACCACATTTCTCGCGGCGCTGGTATGCATGGATAATCAAGGGTTTTTGAAATTTCCTTTGGTGGGTACTTACGGAGGAGGGTCGACTGTTCGTGTAAGCAAGCATACCTCATAATGGTATTTGCGAATGAAATCCAGAGTATGAGTGTCTCCAACGTCAAAAGAGTCATCCAACATGTATGCATAGCACCGGTCATGTGTCATAGCTTTACAGCTGAAAACACAATAGATTATTTAAAAAAAAGTATAAGTGTAAACGACACAGAGCCTAGGCCGGAGGACGAAAGCTGAACACCTGTCAGTGGTGTCCTCTACGAACCTGGGAGTGAAATATTCTCCTAGAGCCGAGATTCAGTCACGACAAAGGGTGAATTTGAGAGTTTTCGTCGAGTTGACGGATCGGGAGGAGTGGTGTTGGCTCATTTTTGGTCGAAAATTCGACTTGCAGAGATTTCACGACTGCACAACTCAACGAAATCAACCATCTACACCCTGGATACGAACCGCAGATAGGCTATAACCTTTCTGATGTTCGTATTACAACAACCAACACCTTTAAGATCTTATTTTCTATTTCTCTGGAAATTTATTCTCAGCCAAACTCATCTCGTGGCCCTCTCCACAATCATCTCACCACCTACTGAAGCAATCCCATACCTCCAAAAGCCAAATCGCCAACTAAGAAGCAAGAGGATGTCCGACCCTCCGCAACTGCCAGTCGCTGTGAAGGTAAGGTCGAAATACCGGCCTTAGATGCGTCCTAACCTCGGCCAAGGGCACCAACAACTCGACCTGCGACGAATTGCCAGCGACGAAATACGTACGACACTTCGCTGGCATATCAACCAGAGCGTTCGACAAAGGCCGGGGCACCGGTGCGTCGGTCTTGAGCTCTCAGTCGCGTTTTCGATCTCCACGGTTAGGGGTACGGTAGCGACGGGGCAAAGCCGGAGGGGTGGACATTCTACAAAGTTTCTGGGATGACGAGATCGGCTGAAGGATAGAGGGATGCTGCATGAAGGAATCAAAAGGGAATAAAAACTGAGGATGCCTTGGTGGGCGACTAGATGAGGCCTCCAGTGAAGTAACAACCCCTGGGTGAGATGAGGAGATGCTGAGGTGAGCCAAAGTTGGGAATGAATCGAAGGGAAAAGTTACAGATCTCGGAGGTGTCCAGGACTCGGGCGCGTGGTGGCCGAGGCTGCGGAGGAATTTGTGCTTCGGCGCGCCAAAAGGGTGTTTTCCGGACGGTTGGGCTTGACATGATTCAACACATGGGTGAAGTCTCAGGGTCCGGTCATTTAGGTGGGACGAGGCACTTGTACTTTACGGTAGTTAACCTGATCCAGCCCGGCCCCACCCGTGCTTAAGCTCCAGCAGGAGTGCAATGGGAATCAGTATACCTAGCACGTAAATGAACAAAACAAAACAAAACAGAGCCTACGCCACAGCATAAACGAGTGTGGCGTCGTCTTGGCATAGAAAACCACCAATAACCTTCTTGTGGCCACGCCATATAGCCGCTCATGTATCCAACAGGTAGCCTGAAGCGCTACCATAATACCCATTCCAACCGCTTAAATACACACAGGATGGTGTCGGGAACCCAGATGAAATGGAGGTCCCGTACGTCCACAACACTCTGTGTCTCCAACTCCAACACAAGGCAAGTACTTTCTCCACTACATGGCCGCTCAAGCATGAATGTAGAAGTCTCGGCAGAGTCATGTATTAAATTTAACGAATTATTACTGAGCTAGATAGCTATCCACCACCAGTCATGTTCCCAAATCTTGTTTTTGTAATGCAAGTAGATGGGAGCACGGTCCAAGAGAAACCCAACTAGGCAAATAATTATTGGTCCAAGTAGGAAATTAAGAACCGTACTAACAAACTTGCCTAGTTACCGCACTTTCATTCCTTTACCTCGCCGAAAACACCTGTGGTGGGAGTCGACCGAAGCCTACCAGCTTTTACTTGCACACTTTGCATTCCTCCCGTTATCGACTCAAGATAAGCGTCTGGCATGTCAGGAGCTTCAATAGCATATATGGATCCTTCTAATTGCAAAAGACGCTCTATTTCAGCTGATAGTCCCGTTTTTAGATTCCAAGTCTGGGGCTCAATTCCAAGCATGTAGAAGTAAATCATGGCTCCGTTGAGAGATTCTTTTCTGAGATTGGTTAAGAGATACCAGCTGCCTTCTCTTTTTTGTATGAGGTGCAAATTTCCTTGATACCAGGTGAGCGCTACATGATTTTGCATCCAATGCTTTCCTGGGAAGATTTGACCTTTGAATACCAAATCGGCCAGCTCAAGTGGTTTATCCGCGTTGATGTACCGCTGCGCGTATGAAGTCTTGGGGGCAAAGCTTCTAAACTTTCCACAAACTGAAAGAACATCCACATAGGCCATTTTGGCTATAAGATCTGGAGTGCATATATCGTGATCCAGATCTGATAATAGAATCTGGTTTTTCGGTATAGATTTATATTTTGGGTCTTCCCTTTTCTCTAATTTTCGGTTTATTTCGTCCAAGCAAGAACCTATATGTTTATTATCGGCGGAGTGAGCATGTAATCTAGAGTTTGTCATATCCCATCTATCAGCAGTGATAGTTTGTACTATTTCATTAACCCCCTTCTCTGTGGAGCAGTACAGGGTAGAATATGTACCAGCACCAAGGCTATCAAATTTTGCCCTATACATATGAGCCGAGGAATCGTGCTCGGGGAAGTTGGGATTATGAGCATCAGTTATGAAGTAGCTTTGAGAAGACGGATTGTTGGTTACGACAACAAGTCGATTTAGTTTCGATGTCAACGGGGAAGAAAAAAGCATAAACGCAAAAACGCAAACCATTGTGCTGATGAGCGCGGGTTTTTTCTTAAACACGCGGGAAATCGTTGTCGACTGTAAGTTTACTGAAGGAGTCTCCTGTTCTGAGGAGGTTGTTCGTCAGAAGTTCGGTATCGTACAGTTTTCTGGGCAAAGCTTTGACTGCTTGAAAGAGTTGAAAGGGATAGCAGTATTGTAATTGTGTTCTATCGGTAGTCTTGCATCTTTATAGGATTCTTATAAATATCCTACTTCATGACAAGCCGCGAGTCTGCATCGATAAACCCATCATCTCACTGCACACTCGAGGAATGATCCTTGGGTGTATTTGGGAATACGAAGTAACGCCAAGTGGAAAGACAGAACTCAATGTTGGTCCGGCTTTGCATGATCAAGTGATAGAAAAGTAAACAAAATTAAAATTATGAAGCTCATTTCAATCCATATCATATGTTACAGTTTTTAGTCCGTTTTGGCTTGGCGTTAATCGTGCTTCATGACTCTATTACCTTTGGTATATTATGCTCCAGTCCACTTTTGTTACGAAAACGAGATTTCTGAAATACTACCCGTGTCGAATAGCCACCGAGCTCAGGAATTAAGCGTAGAAGTAAGCCTCATGTCCTACGAAACCTTCAAGGTAGCATGGAAAACTGCATGCATGCGTGGGTAAAATTATTAAAATCCTTTAAGACCAGCCAGGCGAGGCGCGTCTACACTTCTTTATCTCCATTCCTTGTAACAAAAGAAAGCAACTTTATCCGGTCTATCGCCGCTCTATGGGAATTTGGATAAGCCCCAGAGTCTCACCAGATAGATTCCCGCCATGAGCGAGTAAGAAGAAAGTGAGTGGACAAAGAGTATGACTGGGTCCCTGCCATCTGAGTGCGAGACTGATTGGATATGAGGCAATCCTTCTTAGGCATCTATATGTAGAGCTTACTTACCCTTTGCACCGGCAGCGCTGGAAGGTGGTCAAATTGTTTAATCCAGATTTATCTAATGTTAGTAGACTGGGCTAACGTACTGATTTGCGATAATGCATTGGGTGAATGTCGTGCAGTAAGCTTGCACAGTGGATAAAGCTTGTGGAGGTCATCAAGACATATATTACATCGGCGCACTCCGGCTGTAGAGGTCTAGATCATGGGAAAATATAGGCTAACTACGGCCTTGAAACTCGTCTGAATAGAAGAGGGCATTGAAGATATAATGGCCAAAGCCGACAAACTGGCCATAGATTTTTTGCATAAGATTTTAATTGCTTATGAAGCTTTCTAGCTATGACAAAATATCAGGGAAAATGTACAGAAAAGGTGGCTCAACTTAGAAGAAGAGCACTCATACCACAGATTTTATTTGCAAGTACCGCGGCGAAGTAATGCCGGCTATTTCTTCAACCCAAACCAGCCCTCATCCGAGAATACCCACCCAGGGAAACGTCTCAAAAAGCCTGAGTTATCCAGACTTGCCTCAATCTTCGACTGAGTTTTCTCCGCGCATAATATGGTCTGAGATATCTCCTTCCCAAGTGGAATATGTGTCCAAGCTATCCAGACCTTACTTGGCAGGCCTGCCAAGACGATGTACCACCGCACCATCCAGCCATGGGGATGGTTATAGTGTCGCCTGCACTCCCGCAACCGAAGTCTTGGCAGGCATAAAGCTCAATTTGTAAAAACTCCTCGCCAAAATTAGAAATTTCACGCCCGTCGAGATTGTATCTATACTCCGTATCATCCCGTGAAATTGTCCTGATCCCTCTAACGTCCATCCAAAGAACCGTCTCCCGGATTTGTGCGCCACGCAATGTGTCTTCCTGCCGGTATAAATATAGGCGTGGGCATGTATTTGGTGACTGACTGAGGCCAGAGAAAGTCGACGAGAGGTGTGATCATTGGAATAAGGATGTCATAGGTCGTACTTGTAGTCTTGATGAGGCTTGATTAGGAGACGAACTCGTCGGGTGTGAAAGATTGGGGAAGTAATTTTGATTATTACCTCGTTGGCCAACTTCTTTGGTATTGCGAAATATGACTGGACTTGGCTTTGGGAGAATATTTTGTTGCAAATCTAGACTCAGCATGTATGAAGGCTTAGATTTCTAGGTATGATCATCAAGATCAATTGAGTTGATTCGATTGAATATGATTAAGCTCAGTTGGACGAAATAAGATTCAGTGGCATCTGGAATGCAGTGGCTAGGAAATGCTACCTTGCGATAATTGAGTGGCTGGTTGTTGCTAGATCACTGGGAATTCAGGATCTGAATTTAATGACAGACTCATCTGTATATGTAAAAATAAGTTAACGGAGTATCATATATTATTAATTCATATTAAGAATATAGTTCTATATCACATACAACTATCAATAAATTCTTGTCCGAAATTGTACACTTGTTCTTCGAGATATTTCCTCCTAGAAATCCTTGACAATTTCTAACATATTTCACTCCCAGGTTCGTAGAAGATACCGCGTACAGGTGTTCAGTCTTGCCCTCCTACACTTGTACTTGTAGCGCAAACTTCCCACACTTTTAGCCGTAATCCGAACATGACACTCCTTTAGCCAATTTCTTCTTTCGTTCCATAAATTTTGCGCCCATTTCATTGCGCGATATTTCCAATACCCTTTGGTCGATATAAACGGTTGATAGGAAGGCGAAAGTGTCGAAAATGTTATTTGTTTTGCGCATAAAGATTAAATTAGATTTGGAGACGAGGTAACAGCCAAAATCACTAAACCTATGCTGATTGACGAGGGGCACACAAAAGCTTACTCGTATGTGTTGTTGCAAGTAGGGGCTAAGGAGGGCAAGACTGAACACCTGTACGTGGTATCTTCTACGAACCTGGGAGTGAAATATTCTCCCAAAGCCAAGTCCAGTCATATTTCGCAATACCAAAGAAGTTGGCCAACGAGGTAATGATCAAAATTACTTCCCCAATTTTTCACACCCGACGAGTTCGTCTCCAATCCAAGCCTCATCAAGCCTACAAGTACGACCAAGTACATCCTCATCCCAATGACCGCACCACTCTTCGACCTTCTCTGGCCTCAGCTGGTCGCCAAATACATGCCCACGCTGATATTTACACCCGGCGGAGGAAGCAAAGCGTAGCGCACAAATTTGGGAGACAGTTCTTTAGATGGATGTGAGAGGGAACAGGAAAAGTTCAGAGATGATGCAGGGAATGGATACAATCTCGACGGGCGTGAAATTTCTAATTATGGCGAGTTTTTACAAATTGAGCTTTATGCCTGCCAAGACTTCGGTTGCGGGAGTGCAGGCGACACTATAAACGTCCCCATGGCTGGATGGTGCGGTGGTACATCGTCTTGGCAGGCCTGCCAAGTAAGGTCTGGATAGATTGGACACATATTCCACTCGAGACACTAGATCGCCGGTTAAAATCCGGCAGAAAACAACCACATTTCTCGCGGCGCTGGTATGCATGGATGACGAAGGCATGCTTGGATAATCACAGGCTTTCAAAATTCCCTTTGGTGGGTACTTACGGAGGAGGGTCGACTGTTTGTGTAAGCGAACATACCTCATAGTGGTGTGTGTTTTGTTTTTTTGTTTTTTATTTTAAAGTCCTAAGCTAAAGCTCTAGGTCCACTATCGGTACAAGACTGGTGGAGCCGGTGGGGTTCTCTGCGTACAGGCCCAACTCATTCCAACCGCGGGAACCTCAACAAAAGTAGATGAAGTTAACAACATAACTTAAATCAAAACTAAAATCAAAGCGTAAATCAAACAAAAAACTGAAATAAACTGAAAAAAATAAATAATAATTTAGAAGAATTTCATATGTGGTCCAGATCCCGCGCTTCTCACCCGTTTCCTTCCCTGTCACATCTTCCAAGTGACTTTTCCTAATCTCCGCTGAGAGCGAAAGATGAGCTCTCAGGTAACCTTTGCTGTCGGTCGGTTTCCTGCTTTTTGTTGTGAAAGTTGTTATAGACTTCACCAAGGACTACCGAGTCCTCAAACTTCTTCTTCGGTCTCCAGAATTCCGAAACCCGATCCCTCCGCCATGGAGACGTCCTTCGCAGAGGCGTTCCTCGCCTCTTCGTCCTTTTTGTATGCAGCTTTGACACGGGCAAAGTCTGCATATCTTTCTTGCTCGACTCTGCGAATTGCTGCGAGCTGTTCCTTGGTCACCGGTCCATCTTTTCTGGGTCTGGCTTGGCAGTGCCGAGAGTCCGATCGGTGAGGTCCCCCACAATTACGACATCGTGTGAGGGCCTTGCACTCCACTTCCGAGTGCATCTTTGAGCCGCAGTTCCAGCAAGCTGGAGCGCGAGAGCATCCGCGGCTGGCGTGATAGCCAAGACAACGTTTGCACTGTTCGAGTTGTTGACGAGGTCGGAAGAGCTTCGCAGCTCCAGAATCGTCGAAGAGGCGGAATCCAGGTCGGGGCGTGGACTCGCGAGGAAAGAGGGCTTGCCAGTTCTGGTATGGCGCCCCAGGCTTGCAGTACCCGTGCGGACGGACAAGAAACGGAGCCGATTTCGTCACTCGCGTGACTTCGTCAGCAACCATCTTTGCCGTGATCTCGATGGGACCTGCAAGTGTGTTTATTGTCATCGGTACGGTGGCAATTTGCAAGGCAACCAGATTTGACGCTGGTTCCAGTTTGATTCCAGATTCGCTCCGTGACATGGAGGAATCTAGCAGCTCTTTCCGAGCGAGTTCGTTCTTTGCTGTCAGTGCAAAGCCTGTTTTGACCCGCTGAACCAACGTTATGTCGTCGGCAGCGGTACCAAGCACCTGTGACACAGCTAATCTTACGACAGCTGGTGACAGGAGTCGGTGGGGGTGGTTAGCTTTGAGGCGTAGAAAAAGTCTCGCGTCGACTTTTGTCCTCGGATTGGCACTTTTTGCTTTTGGGGCGGGCGGTGCTGCCTTTGCAGTCGACGGCCAGGCGCTGCGGCCTAGACCTGCACGGGCTACTGTGGCCCAAGTCGTCTTTGATGCCGGAGCCTGGGTTGTCGAAGGGTTAGGTACCCTAATTTCATGAGCCCTCGGCGGAGGAAGGTTGATGGGGCGCGCAGGGAGAGCTGGTGGAGTGCTCCCTGGGCCTAATTGTATGAACTGGCCAATGGCCGCTCGAAGGTAGACTTTGATGCCGTCTACAAACTCTTATTCGTCGCCAATCGAGAGAGGCGAAAGTGCTGCTTCAACACTGCTTATTGCAGTGGAACAGATTGATAAACGTGACTTGATTTGCGTCGTGCGACGCTTCTCGGCCTCCATCACTGATTGCAGCTCCGGAGGATATTCCGGTGCTGATGTCGAAGCTGTGCCTTTTGGAGTTGGCACAGTGAATTTTCTTGCAGATGTTTCTGCTTGTTCTGTCGTCTTTTCTCGGACGACTTCCTTTCCTTTCCTTGAACTGCTTGCCTCGGGGGCCAGCTCGGCGGGTTTCCCGGTCTGTTGACCATTTGTTTCTGTTCTGATCGGGTCAGAATCAGTCATCTCTTGATCAGGAAGTGTGGAAGACTTCCCAGGGATAAAGTCCTCACTCGCAAATAGGCTTGATAATTTTTGCGCGAGGCCAGGTGTTTTTGCAGAAGCCCTCGGGCGGACTCTCGCGTTGTCCAACATTGAGTTGGGGAGCTTTTTTCGAACAGGAGGCATGATGAAAATGCCAGTGACTCGATTACAATTTTTTGAAGGAATACGACGAGCGCGAGAGGGAGGGAGAGGGGGAGAAGGAGAATATTCGAATATTTGAATTTCAAAAAATTGTGTGTGTGTGTTTTATTGTACTACTTGGGTCTATGAACATCTAGCACATTGGGCTCCTCTCTGACCCAGGCCACACCTTGTAGAGTGCTCCTTGCCTCTTTTATTACTTGAAAGATCATTGATATATTGCCCGTGATGAGTAGCCATTCAGCTCAGTGTTTGCCCGTGGAATTCAGCCACCTTTTCCACGGAACCTTCTACCCAAAAAAAAGAAAAGGGGTAGCAATGAAAACTGCGTGCGTGTGAAAAATTCTCATAAAACCTGCAGTCCCAGCCAGGCGAGGCCTAGACACCGGGACCACATACCTCATAGTGGTATTTGCAAATAAAATACAGAGTATGAGTGTCTCTAACGTCAAAAGGGTCATCCCACATGTATACATAGTACCGGTCAAGTGTCAACGCTAGATAGCTGAATACTCATTAAATGATTTAAAAAAGAAAGAGTAGGGGCTAAGTTCAGGTCTATTCAGCCTCGCAATCTCGCAAAGTTGAGGATCCAAGATTGATAGACATCTAGATTAGTAGGAGGCTCTGATAAATTGGAATGCTTATGTCATGTTGTTCACGTTGGAGTCCGGGCGCAAGATAAGGAATACTGTATTTATATAGACCATACCCTGTATTAGTGGAGAATCAAGTTACATCTAGTCTTAAGCTCTACTATACATATTGGTAGTTTGGAGCCACGAGACACCCGTAACCCACACCATCACAAAGCTAAGCTTATCTCACTTTTCAAACATATTAATCCATCAGGAACCTCAAAGCTACGTTAGACAAACTAAATTTTTCGCACGATTTTTTCACTTTATTGTCCTGACTGAGTCTATGACTATCTAGGACATGCAGATCCCCTCTGCCTAGAGACCAAGGATATCTATGCTAGTAGTGTATCCCCTCCTACGCCTCCCATACAGCTCCCCTCCAACAGTACCTTCCCTCACAAGCACTCATTCGATCATACACTTAGAGAAGCCCTTTGCCCTTCATTATCTACCCTCTCCATCCAACGAAACGATGGCCATTTGCGGGGGTATGGCGGCCGGGAAAAATCGCAAAAACCAATGGGTGCGGAGCTCTTCTAATACCGACATTAGGACTAAATCCGAAGACATAGTGGCCCTTCCGAAGCGTTCGAAGAGGCCGGCCAGCTGGGCGCTGCAGACTTGTGGGTTCCTCGGAGAATTCACCCTCTGCCCTTCTAGCCTCCTTCCTAAAGGTCGTGCTGAAATGTCAGAAAAGTCTTGATAGAGCGTGCTTGCTGTGTGGTAGCTTAGCCCAACTTCTTCTGTGTCGTCCAGGGCGCTGGGGAGTACCGTTGACTCATCGACAAGAGAAGCCCTCCTGGCTAATTAGCCGAAATCTCGGTCTTGGCGCCCACAAAAAATCCAAAGTTGAAAACTCCTCGAAAATGTCTGTCCCGGCACAGTCTTCAGAGACCTATTCCCCCTCTCGCTCCACATATCATGCGCCTGTTCTCCCTCAAGTTGTTTGTCCCATCAGAGATACAGTCCCCCATAAGCCAAGACCCAAGCTTTGCATATTTCGACTTGATTTCCTCCTTGCGGGTATAAAAAGCGTTGTAGATATATAGAGAGAGATGGCTTGAAATTAATGGGGCAAGCTCCTGTATGCAATTGGGGCAACTTCTTTATTGGTCGTTGAGGCGAGATGATGCCTGGTTAGAGATGGGTTGAGGACTCAGATGATAATGATGAGTGAGGCATTGTCGAGAAGTCGTCAAATGGAGATGTGCTCGAGGTTGCTTTCGACTTCGATTCGGTTGCGATTCTTCTTGGCTATCCCAGTTATGCAGAGCATACTGAGCGATTATACTGCCACCACTGGAAGGTGAAGAATTCGTCTTTGCCGGCACGCGTCGTAGATAGAACCTAAGAGAGTACTTGCGACCTCCCACAGCTCCGAACCCTAACATATTTCTGTATTCCTGTGAAACACTCTTGCATACTATTTACACAGTTGTACACAATCCTTCCAGCTCTATCCTCAATCATAAATTTTTCAGTCTCCATCAGCGAGTAAAGGTCTTCTAGATATTCCATTGCTGCAGTGGTGTTTGTACTTTTTCAAAATGGTGCGGTAAATTTACTCGCAATTTATTGTGTATTCTCGCTCGTCTTGCCTCGGATGACTTCCTCTCCTTCGAGCTAGACGCCTCTGTGGCATGCTCGTAGAGCTGTTTGTTCTTGGAACCATCTTTTACTGATCTAACAGGCTCAAAGTCAGTCATATCTTTGTTGGCTAGGGTTAGAGATTTCCCTTGGAGAAGGGTCTCACCTGTAAATACGCTTGGTAACTTTTGGCGAGGCCTGCTGAATCTGGACACAATAGTGTCTGATCTATGCTAATGGCAGTTATCAAACTCAGGAATTATTCTTCACCAGAATTATTTTTGCATGCCTCCTGATGGTTTAATGTGAGAATGCAAGCATGATAATGGCCACTAGGGGGGAATATTAGGAAAAAGTGATATTCGAATTTTCGAATATCTAAAATTTACGCTTCATTGCTTTTCCGCCCACTATCCTATTAATTCTATGACTTTATCAAAACATATGAATTTCTGGCCAGAAGAAAAGGGTATTAACCTTACATTCTTATCATTAAACAGCGATAGTCTTTTTTATTAATACGAGAGGAACTTTTATATAACGAGCCACTTTATTTGACTTTGACTTTGAAGTCAAGATTGTTCTTTCACTAAGCTTAGGTGATATTTTTCAGGCTTACAGGACATTGCCAGCCAGGTTTATCAAGTAATTGCACAGAATTTGCAAGCATAATTTTGAATTTTCTCACCCGGAATATCTAATTTAAATTATCCAAAACTTTGACCCATAAAACACTATCTTTGATTTGCAAACTACGCGATTCTAAGGAACGTATTGGCTTTAAGTGTAGCTTTAGTTGTAGGAATCCATATGAATTGCTGAACATAACTACATCGGTTGCATTTGGATAATGATTTTTTTCATCAAGAGCCTTATATCACTCATAGTCATATCTGCGATAAAATTCGACAATACCAGCCCTCATGGCTTGCAGCGACCCATAAATCTTGGATACAGGCAACAAGTACGTACAGAATGTTGCTTACAGATCCAAGCAACAAATCGCTCAAGTCCTAAGCCGTATCCGCCGTGTGGAGAGGTGCCGTATCTAGAAATAATATCAGCGTTAACTATTTCTAGTAATAATATTATACCAAAACTCTTAGTTGAACTTACTTTCGCTGTTCGGTATACCAATAATATTCCTTCGGTGAGATACCTTCTCGCTTGTATGCTTCCATTAATTCTTCGTAGCCTTCCATTCTCATGGAGCCTCCAATAATTTCCCCAACACCCGGCATAAGAACATCTACACTTTCGGTGACACGAGGATCAGATTCATCTTTTTTCATGTAAAAAGCTTTTATTTCAGTTGGAAAATGAGTCAATAATATTGGTAAGTTGATAATATCTGTCATTCTTCTCTCAGCAGCCTCAGCAATATCGTCCCCAAAGATATGAGGATTCCCTTCTTCATTAAGAATTGGGGGGTCTTGTGCATTTAGCCATTCAATAGCTTCATCATACCGCATTCTTTTGAATGGTCTGTTAGGTACTACAAAGCCAGGGTTAAGTTGTTTGATTATTCTGGAAATTTCAGGATCTTCCAAAACTGTACTTATAACTGTGCTAATTAGATATTCAATATGATCTAATAAGTCTTGAAATTCAATAAAGTCTAATTCAGCCTCGACATGAGTATATTCTGATAAATGTCTGCGAGTTAGAGACTTTTCGGCCCGGAAAGACTTCTCAATACAGTAAACATTTCCCAAGCTTGGGAGGGCAGTCTCAAGATAGAGTTGTGAAGATTGTGTCAGGTAAGATTTTTCACCATAGTAATCAAGCTCAAAAAGTGATGAGCCTCCTTCCACTTGGGTTTGGACAAATGCCGGGGGGGATATCTTGGTAAAAAAAAGTTCCCTGTATGCTTTCGCAAAGGCCCACTCTACGGCTGAACGAACTTTGAGAACTGATGATGCTGTATCTCCACGAATTACTAGATGTCTGTTATCCAACATTGATGATTCCCATTGATCTTGCTGAGCAGAAACTTTGTTTGTGATGGCTTCTGCATCAGAAGGGCTTCTTCCTATGACCTCATAATAGTCGACATGTAATTCTCTGCCGTCTGGTGCTGTCTGGCCGAGTGGAACTTTACGCATCTCTCCATAGACAATCAGCGATGTACCTTGGGCAAAAGTAAGGGCATCATAAGTTTTTGTCAAAGTGCCGGCCAGAACGCATTGTAAGTGACCATATCCATCTATCAACGTGAGAAAGGTTGCTTGTTTCTGTTCTCGTAATCTATGGATGCGCCCAGATACCTTGACTCGGGCTCCTCTGGTATCACCCTCGCCTAACACCAGACTTTTGTCGCGGATTGTGATTTTTATAGCTTCCGGCAACGACGAGTCTTCTTCGATGACCACTTTTCTCGCATCTTCAAGGTTTTTTAATCGCGTAGTTTCTCTTTCAGCTTCCTGTGTGGCGACCTGTTGTTGTTTTAAAAGTTTTTTCTTGTGAGCGTCTAGAGCGCTTTGTGCTTTTTTGATGGCGCTCTTAGCAGGCTCCTTCCAAATATGTCCGTCATCGATTTTAGGATCATCAATCACTGTAGCTGGATTAGAAGCGCGAACAAGACAAGTTTTGCCTTCAATTCCACCCTCCCTAATGTAAGCATAGGCCAAAGATTTATATGGTTTAGTTTCTGAGCCTGAAGCAGTTTCATTGTCTAACCCAAGGGTAGTGTCAACGTATATAGTTCCCATTATGAAAGTACCTTTTTTCCTCCTGTCTAGGTTGTGTGACAATGAACGCAAAGTGGAATTCACAATTTACTTCTTACCCCACTTGAACCGCCAAATTAATTATTGGGTCACGTGCGATAACATCTTGATAAATTTCAACCCGCTGTGATTGCCGATTTCTAATCGAAATATGTTTCCTTTCCAAATTTGTGTAAAGAAATACAATTGTACAATATCCTGAACAACCTTTGAAATAGTAGTTGAGTAGACAGGTCATATTTAACTGTCTTAAAAGGTTTTCGTATTAAAAAATTCTCCCCTCCAATTTTTGTACCATCATCGTCGTCAACAATTCACTTACAAATTAAGTTCTAAATATCTCATGAAATAAATGGATAGAACTCGAGGACTCGATATCTATAAGCGGCATTCTCTACGATCCTGCAATTAGAATATTCTACCCAATTTAACTTTTATTTTGTAGGGGGAAAAAACTCAACACCTATCAATGGTGTCTCCCACGAACCTCCAGCTCTCACTGTGGGGTGTGCAGAGCAGAGATTGAGCAATACTTTCTTCCTCACTTTCATGGGGTTCCCTAAGCGTTTTTATGGTCTATACCGTCTTCGTCCCTCAGCACAACCTCCTAGTGCCATCATCATAAAGCTAGGCACGATCAGATCAGATGGTTGTGTTCAAGCCCCAATAATCACCTAATCTTGGTCACGGAGGAGCCATTCGGTGAGTTTTCGTAGCATATACAGCGCCCAATACGGCGATAGAGGAATGGATCGAGCTGACTTCTAATATCACAAAGAGAGGATATATAGATGGATAAATGTGCCTATATTTTTAATCATTTAATTTGTATGCAATTATAGAGCTATGACACATGACCGGTGTCTTGTATAGACTTAAGATGACTCTTTTGGTTTCAGATACACTCATGCTCTAAATTTCACCGAAAATACCACAATGAGGTTTGCTTGCTCACACAAACAGTCGGTCCTCTGTGAGTAGCCGTTTGAGAAAAGTTTTGCAATCTTTGGATATTCAACCATGCCTTCGTCGTTCACGTATAATTTCTTGCATGCAAATTACCCTGCTAGATATTTGGAAGCTTGAGTAGTAGTGAGACCAACCTGAATCGGGGTTTTTTAATCCACATTATATTCATCGTTGTAGCTTCTATAATCTTATTTTCGTATTGGTAGCAAAGAAGGAACATGACATGTAAATAAAATTAGTACATTCCAAGTACCTCCTCAATCATTCTAGCTTTAGCTAACCTATCCCCTTCTATTTCTCACTGCAGGTTTGCCAATTATACTTCCTCTGTTTGATGACATATACTTGTAGATTTTTAAGGTTTGTAGTAAAGCTTACCTTCTTCTCTTAGTTCTTAGAAAAATTGGGGATATTCCTGTTTTGTATCAGTTAATTCCGAGTCATTATTTCTGGCATTTTGTCCAATTAAATATTAATTGCTTTTTCTACGTTTTTGCATGGCAAGAATTACATCAATAATCTCTTGCCTTTCCAGTCAAGTGTAATGAATCAGGTTAGCTACAATCAAGTTCATAGACCTCGTTCCATTTGAATAACCGGACCATATAAGGCCTCATCATTTTGTTGAATATCTCAAGTCCAACCGTCCAGAGAGCCCGGCTTTGACGCGCCGCAACGGAAATTTTTCGTCGTCGTCGTCCTCGGCCACCACGCCCCCGAGTCCTGGTAAGCTTCTCCTTCTTGTAATTTTCTTCTCCGTTCATTCACAGTTTGACCTCGTCCTAGCATCTCTTCAGATTATCTACGTTTGCTTCAAGGCCTCATCAAGTCGCCAACTGAGTCCTCCTAAATTATTCTACCGTTCAATTCCTCCATTACCGCTCCTGCTTAATATTTCTATCAATTTTTTCATCTTCGAAGGTTGAGAACTGTACATCTCTCCGACCTTATCTAGTCGCCGCCTTACCCCTAACCAGGTAAGTTGGAAATGTGACTGAGAGCTCAAGACCCAGGCACTGATACCCAGGTCCCTATCAGACGCCCCAGTTGATATGCCGGTGAAATGCGGTGCCTATTTCGTTCATGGCAATTCATTGCAGGCCAAGTTGTTGGTGCCCTTGACTAAGGTCTAGATGCACTTAAGAGCAGTATTTTGAGTGTACATTCACAGTGCACGACAGTTTCGAAGAGACATACGCCCTCTTGTATCTATGATTTTGGGGTTGACTTCTAGATTTGGTATGCTTTGGTAAGCATTGAGATGGTTTTAGAGGCTCGCCAGATCAATTGCGCTGGGATAGGCTTCCAAGGCTAATGAAGAGATTAGAGGGTTAAAGCTGTGTGTAAAACGAACATCTGACAATCTTGAGTCCATCTACGGCTCTAGTTTGGAGTGTAAATGATGGAAATCGCAGATTTTTTGGATTCGTAAAATCTCTACAGATCGAGCATTTAAGGAAATGCTTGCCAACGCCACTCCTCTCGATCGCCATCCCGACTATAACTCTCCAATTTATCCATCGTCGTGACTGGGTCTCAGATCAGAATAAAAATTTAACTTCAGGCTCGTGCAGCACTTAACAGAAAATTGCCTAGCTCTCGTTATTTAGAGCTTCCTTAGATGATTAAGTGTGTGTGTGTTTATTGTACTACTTGAGTCATAGACAATCCAGCACATTGAGTTCCTCTCTGGCCCAGGTCATACCCTATACAGTGCTCCTTGCCTCTTTTATTACTTGAAAGATCATTGATATATTGCCCGTGATGAGTAGCCATTCAGCTCAGTGTTTGCCCGTGGAATTCAGCCACCTTTTCCACGGAACCTTCTATCCAAAAAAAAGAAAAGGGGTAGCAATGAAAACTGCGTGCGCGGGAGAAAGTCTCAAAAATCCTGCAGTCCCAGCCAGGCGAGGCCTAGACACCGGGACTACATGAGGTGCGTATATCCATCCATATCTCCCCTCTTTGTAACATTCGAGGCCGACTTGATCTAATCAACCATCTCCGTATCGGGTGCTAGGTACGCTCCGGAAACTCATCGGATGGCTTCTCCTCCATGATCAAGGGTGAGTGATGAGTAGGGCTCCGAACCTACCATCTAATCTGACCGTGGTTAGCTTCATGATAATGGTGATAGGGGGATGTGTTGAGAGATGAAAACGATACAGACGGCGAAAGCAATTGGGAATCCTTAAAGAAGTGAGGACTTTGTTACTCAATCTCGGCTTTGCAGGCTCTAAAGTGAGAGCTGAAAGTTCGTAGGGGACACCACTGACAGGTGTTGAGAATAGTTCCCCTTAGGTGATTAAGTGACTGCGGAGATATCTTTCAGAAGTGCTCTAGTGAAGGGAGAATGGCGGGTTTCAACATTGAATTGACGTATTCTACGCTGGAGTCTTTAGATCCACACCCATGAGAGTTGACTTGGATATAGGCTTTCAGGAAACAAAATACTGCTAATAATTCTGGCTTCAACTGTCTAACTTTTAACTACAGTGAACCATAGTATTGGGTGTGGATGTAGTGACATATAATTGTTCGGTATTGCATTGAGTTGTGTGTGAATGCTACGGGCTAGTTGTAAACTGTTTACAATTCTAGATCTGTAGATGATTTCATTTTTTAATTTGGATTCTTGTATGTCGTAATCCTCATTTAAGTCTCATCTGATTCAGTCTCATCATCTCCCAGCCTGAACTCTCTTCTGTCACTCACACAAAGAGTCAGAAGACAGAACCAAATGAGGAGTCTCGGTAACTTGAATAGGAATACTAGTTTAGGCTCTTTTCCTCGATTTATAACCCATAGAAGTTGCTCCCCAGAGAATCAAATGGCTTAGGTCTAGATTTCCCGTTTTATAAATACGATGTGGAGCGGCTCTCCATGAATCTTGGAATGTATTATTTTCCCAAAGCTTTCATTCGGTAATAATTCGCGATGTAAAAGTGGTTCATGAGGTGTTATGTAGAGACATGATTCATTCATGAGTTGACATTGTTCAAAGGATTATGACTATGTCACAATATCATGTGTAGACACGATTAATTGTTTGTAATTGTTGTATCAACCATGACTATAACTCAGTGACAGGAGAAACATCATTGAATAGTTACTAGAGACCTAGTGAAGATCCTAAGCACACAACTGAGACTGGGAGAATTTTACTGAGTAAGTAATTATTCTGATGGATCTAAATCTGGAGGAGCATAACCTGGTTGCTTGGCCCGATATATACGAACCTGAGTAAATCATGAATAATAAAATATTTAGAAATATATAGAAATCACAATCATCATCTTGATTCATGTCACCATCAATAGCTGCAAAGCACAGTTTATCCATTTCCTTATATGAGGCAATGGTTCACGACTTCCTACCACAATCATTTTTCATGCTCAACAAAATCGACTCCAAACAAAGACCCATAAAATCTATAAGTGTGACGTGGTACAACCCGTTCCTTGTGATCAAACCTATCGTTGTTTCAGTTTCTGTCTTCAACTGGTCTCCAGACTCACGCCTGAAACTTTATGAATATCCGCAGGAAAAATATCGTGGTGCACAAGTCTGCCGAGCAGATATGTGGGATGGGCTCGGAAGAGTTCAGGTCAGATAATTAAGCGTGCTTTGGATTAATATTCTTAAAATGTGTCAAATTTTGAAGGTTGATAGGGAACTTCCAAATTGAAGAGCATTTAGCGCACCATGACTCGATTAGTCAGATTGCTTACCAGACTTGATACTCGGCCGTGGCAATATAGTGCAGCAGTACACAACTGAAACTAGTCTGTCAATGTTACGATTTTACCGTTGTTTGAGCTTAGAAGTAGACCTGAACTTAATATTGAGAATTCTTACGACAAGACTGTATGGGGAGCAGATGGAGATCAACGAAACAGCACTACTAATCAGGAGGCTGTACGTTATTACAACTTAGTGACACTTAGAAATACGTGGCTGGGTATAAAGTATTGTGCCTAAGGACAAGTCACTAGCCTGTAGATTCACGAGGA